GTAACAAAGTAGTTTTTAGTAAAATATTAATAGCTAAGTATAAAATAAATAAATTTGCAAAGTTTGATAAAAATATATCCACAAACAAGCAAATTACAACAGTTTACTTAATAACATGGAAAATTAAAATTTACAATTTTGTTGAATTTATATGTAACCAATAACCGTAAAAAACACTTGAATATACCAGATTATTTTCTTTTATGCTCTTTAAAACACATTAGAGAGAAGTTGATTAAACATGAGAAACCCCTATTTTTATCCCATAAAACCCCGTTTCCATCGTCCGAACACTCCGGTTTGCGAACTCGTTCGAATAAACGTTTGTACCAAATTTAATCAAAATCGGATAGTTTTTGCTCGAGTTATCGTGCTAACGGACATAAATATGAATTTTAACAGATGGTGTTTTTGGCCTCTGGGGACATCAAAACGAAAAAGTAAATCGGTCCCGGATCCAGATCTTACCATGGGACCTGCAGTAACAGCTTATTCCCTATATGGGGAATTCGCTAAACGACCGTAGGTAAATAAACTAACCGAATTTGATCAAAATATATCGATAAACAAGTAAACTACAACAGTTGACTTAAATTTGCAATTTAGAATCTTTAAACGGCTGCCATTTTCGACTCAGTTGTTCTTTAGAGTTCAAGTTTGCTGCATTGTATTCTGGTAATAAAGACGTTTTCATAATATAATAAATAATTTTATTTGCATTAACCTAACTTTTAATGCGCACAACAATCACGATTTTCTTCCGACTTCTAGCGGGCACTCCTTTTAAGAGATAGCGTAGCCTGATTATCTTCCAAAGCAAATTCAAGAAATCTTTGAACGGCTGCGATTTTTTACCTTCGTCCGTTTTAGTTTGGGGAATAATAATAATAATAATAATAATAAATTTTATTATGATATCAACATGGTTACATTTAAGACTTTCTTCTGACTCCTATCGAGTCGTTTCCCTGAGAAGGCTGCGCATCATTGAATAAGATTTTAAAATATTTTTTACCAGTAACTTTGTTCCAAGAGCTCTATTTTTATTATTTTAAAATAATTAACTGTTCCGGTACTTTTTCCACTCTGTATGCATGAATTTGACCGAATGGTGTTTTTGGCTTCTTTGGACATCAAAAAGAAAAGTCAAGAGTGGTCCTGGGTATAGGCCTTACCATGAGACCTACGAAATCACTTACTCCTGATATGGGAAGTTCACCAAGAGCTGTAGTTGATTTTGAATCATTTCGTGACTGACCGGTCGAAAGTAATAGTAATTTAGTAATAAGGAGTGATGTCTTTGTTTGCTGAAGTTACGATGAATTTTTGCAGTTTGTTAAAAGGTTGGTCGAAGTAAAAAGGTGTTTTACAACAACACATTCGCTGGCCAACTAATCAATTAATTTTGCACTATAAAACTGGCTTCAACAATATATCAAAATAACAATGTCTAATTCACGTTAGTTGAAAGATAGAAAAAAAAAATGTTTAAGCACCCAATTCTTAACAAATGTTTTGCTGGGATACTCCACAATATCCACGTACTTACAGAAGAAGTTAAGAACTTAAATACATTTAACACATTTTAAACGTAGTTTCACTTCATTCAAAACGCTCGAATTATCATAACGACAACGATGAGTAAGTTAAAATTCCATGATGTAATTTCAACATGAGATAAAGATACGCAATCGCCCGAACACGAGTCTGTATCTCGACTGTAAACACTAACAGAAAACAAAAACAGAAGCTTGATAAAGACAGTCGTGAACAAAGACGAGAAAGATATATTGTTGGAATAGTTAAAAGATGTTACTAATACCATTGGCTTTTAACGTTAGAAATTACTACAGGTACAAAAACGGTCCGGAAGCGGTGATTTTATCTTAAGGAGTTTGGAGGATCTTTGTAGAAGACGTATTGAAAACGTCGAAGGATAGATTGGAATCATTTGTCGAGAAGTGTTTTTTTTAGAATGCGTCCCGTTAACTATTCCTTTATTGAAAGTAGTTAAGCATTTTTACTTTAAAATACAACTTGAAGAACAGCATGGATGAATTCCTTTAAGGCTGAACGTTAAGAGGGGTTCACCCGTCGACTGATGTTTATGTCACAATAAAATAGGACTTCTAAATATCATCAAATGATTTAATCCACGAATTACTTCCTAAACTTCCATAATGTCAATTACCAGGCTGTGAAAATGTATGTGTGAAAACTAGCTTTTATACTAAACTAAAGCTTGTAATAACAGCTAGTATGATTTTTGTAACATAACTTTTAGTGTGATAACTGGGAAAGTGGAAATACAATATCACCATTTATCTTTTAAAAATTACACACAATTTAATATTATAGCATTCTATAAAACTTTAAATTCTGGAAAGTAATTTTGTTCAAATATGCTGAATATATTTTAGTTTGTGCTATTCCTTCCATAGGTATTGACTTTACGCTTTGTACTTCTACCATAGATTAAACATACCCCCTTAGCTACTACCATAGATTAAAAGAAGTAGACACTCCTTTTATCTATGCTACTACATACAATTTCGAGCAATAGCAATGTAGGCTAAGCCCACTGTCAACTTAGATGAAAAAAGGATCGTTATAAAAGCAAATTATTTCCAAGATGCGTTTAAATTTATGTATAAACAAGCTGCTATACCCGTGCTTTGCAACGAGGAGAAAATGTGATCTAGAGAGCTATTAAAGTAGTGCTGATGCGTTTTTTAAAATACAACAACTCTATGATTTAGTTTGAAAATATAAACTGATATAAAGTGTAAACCTACTTACTTAAAACACCTACTTTTAATGTTAATATAGATCTAAAAGAATATGACAACATACCTTAGTGTAGCAATAGCATCAATTGCTTTATATTGATGCTTCATGAATGACATGTTTGACCATAACCCTTCAATTTTGGTCAAGTCTTTTTAGATGTAGCTTACTATATAAATTACAAATTGAAACTTTGAGCAATACTTTACAAAACGTATACAACCTTTCTTTAAAACCAAACATAACCCTCCTAAAACTACATAAAGCATCACAAATAAATTTTTCGAGTAAATAAACAAACACCACTTCATTGTACTGACCAGCTGTTTCATTGGGCCGTATGCATAAAAAAGAGCATTTGCTCAAAAGGAAAAGGTAGAAGGAAAAGCAAATGCTTCAAGTAAAAGGTAGAAGTAAAAGCTTTTCCTTCACATAATATGCATAATGATTTGCTTTTATTAGGGAGTAAATCCTTCGAATCACAAGTAAAAGAACAAGGGTAGCGGAATTTTATCCCCCTGGAGTTTAACCCCCTGGGCGAAACTGACGTCACAAACCAGGGGGTAAAATTCCGGCCGCGAACTTTTGAGCTGCACAACATCAGTTAAATAGATTAAAGGTGGAGTTAAACGCATATTTTCACAGTTGTGAATTTAATCACAATACATCAAAATATGAAACCTAGAGTGTACGGGCTGGAATTTTACCGCCAGACTTTTACCCTCTTTATGAGGTCAGCTCAAAATGTACGGCTCAGATTTTTACCCCAGGAATTTTACCCCCCCTGATTTTTACCCCCCGGATTTTTACCCCCGTAATTTCACCCCCTAGCTAGATATAGATATTAGTGAGATTGATTAATTTTCTTCTTTCAGTTTAAATAGTAAACATTTTACATTCATATTAACCAACGGTTGGCCCAAACCCGAATCCCGAATATCAAAATAATTACTGTTATTTTAGATTTTTATCTGTTCTTCAATTGCCTTTACTGCTTTACTCAAGACGTAAAAATATCTTAAACGTGTCCTCAATTTTGTCTTTCGTAGTTACCATATGATTAATAAATTTTGAACGAAAAAACTAAATTTAACAATATTGGCTAGTTACGTTTATCTACTAGCCAATATATTGTTAAATTTAGTTTCTCCGTTCAAAATTGATTAGGCCTACTCTTCTCCAATATGCATACTTTTACATCAGGCTAGTTGTTTATAACGGGATATGAGCTTTAAATATAAAAAAATATTTAGAGCTGGTTTTAAATGGGCTAAAACAAATATTTAAAGAACACTAATAACTGTTTAAAAAAAACTGTGTTCTTTTTTTCCCGTAAAAGAGGTCTTGTTCGTTAAACAAAATGACAAACAAACGGACTTATAAAAATGAGAAAAATCGTCTCGTTTTTTGCTTTTTGCCGTGTAAGTGAATAACAAACGTGGAAAAAATTACTTGTAAACTATGATATTTATTATTTTAATAGAAGTTAAATAGATGTCAAGAAAAGATAGACCACAAAACAATATTTTTGGGATGAATTTACATTGACCAAAGAATACCCTCAGGGTATAGTGATAGAGTTCCCCGAGCAAAGCTCGGTCCCCGGGTACAAAATATTATTAGAGCATGGACCCCCTCAAACGTTTATTCTACTCTCTACATTAAATAAACAGTGCGTCCCTTTGAAACCCCATTGTTAGTGTATGCAGATTATAGTTTCCTACGTAAAAGTACCGCTTATGTTGTGTTAAAAAGTTGACACCCTTTAGAAAATGACATTCTTAACGTAGAAACAATTATTTTCGAAACTTTTTCGAGCGACTGCTTCGGGTGGATAAAGAGTCCACTCCACACTAGTAAAGGGAATTCTAAAATAGAAACCATCCTGATCATAATTTTTGTTTCCTACATGGAACTATCCTTTGAGGAGAGTTCAAAAGACTACAATATGTATTTTAGTTAATTGGGGTTCTTAATCTAGAAATATTAATTTTAAAAGCGTTTTAGAGTACGCCGTATAGTTACATCTTAAGATTAATTGGGATTTTCTATTTATTTTAGCATAAAGAAGGTTCAAAATGTTGAAACTATATTTTTCCGAAACAGCTTTTTCTTCTCCGACAAAAAAAAACACCCGTAAACCATTTTTCGATTTCGGGCCACCTATATACTAGCTAAACCCAACTTTGTGCATGTAACAGATGAACACTCACTCCGTGACAGGTTGTAGGTCATAGTACACATTCCCATGGATATGTTGGTTCTGGTCCAGGGAGAAGAAATCATCCTCTTCTCCCTGCAGAAGCCGCGCATAGGACGGCATGTCGTGTAGATCCCGAGCCACCATGCTCTCTCTAACACTAACACTATGTCACTTACACCACACTAGTCTAGCCGCCACCGGCCGCCTCCCCTATATCAACCATTTTCTGTTTTTCCATGGCGTCTTTCACTCGTTTTTAGGTCCGAAAATAACAGTTTCGCAAGACAATTCGACAAAGTTTTTAAGCCTCGCGTACATTGCTGTGGTTCAGTTTACAGTTCAGGAAATGTCTTCAATATAGTAAATTAACACTAGGACACGATAGTTGTATTCTGAACCAATTTCAGTTTAATACTCAGCTTTTGCACTTTTAAACTGTTTGCGATTAATGTATTCTCGACAATTGTCCGTAAAAGGTTGAAATATGAGTTGCTAATGTATTGTATTTTGGTGACTAATAATTTATTAGTCAATCTCCCAAAAATCGATGGATTATACGTTTTTTAAACTGTCATATAGGCTAACTAAACCACAGAGACAAGACACTATTTTCACACAATTCTCCAGTAATCTGTGTAGATGTCACAGACTAATTAATTGTCTCACACACGGATATCACCAGTCACTAATCACACGTTAGTCGCAAGGTCACACACGACACTGATAACGCACTGTGTGATAAGCCCGTGGGCTGGCGCGCGCGCCTGTAGCCAACAACCAAGTGTGACCACCAATCAGTGGCGCGCCCGCACGCGCAGCTCTGCCGCGCAGCGCACACATTGTTGCGCACCCCCTCCCACCCCTCACCAGCGCGCCAATCACCACCCCTTCCGTGTACACACGGTACAATTGCTAATTGATTTGTTAAAAAACACAATGACAATTACGATTGAAAAGAAATAAAAAGTGTTGACTGAATGAATGAATAATTGTTGTGTTTTTCCATGTTAACATTTCAACCTAAAAAAATAAAGGTCTTTAAAATAATAATAAACGTTAATTGATTGTTGGAAGTTTTGAAATTTTGGTTAAAGCTTAACACAATTTTATAATAATATTAGTAACGTAATCTAAGACAAAATTATCGACCTAAACCACCTTCTACCATAGTTTATTTCGGATCTTATTTGTAAATTAATGGGTTGCCGTTAAATTGTAAAAACCTTTAAACTCAGTATAAATTTGAAATGCGGCTGAATTTTGCTGGGCGAGTGAAAGAATATTTTACGATTGTTATGAGGTTTATATAGGGTTTCAAAACGTACGTTTTATAGAAAAGGGCAAACAGATTTAGGTAAAAATGTTTGTTTTATGAAAATATTCAAAACTATGAAAAACGCTGAGAAGTATAGTTGAGTTTTGAATTAACTATCGAATGCCTAGTTAGATATAATCCTTCAATTGATATTCTTAAAACCAGCCATATACACAAGCAATATGTATTACAAGATATGTTGGAAATTAAAATAGCCTAAATCGCACGCAACTAAATAAACGTCAGATTTTAAAAGGTAATAATGCTTTAAATGAGGTATTACCTAATCATAAGGATTGCAAATCTGGTTGCATATTTTATTCAACTACATTAAAAACAGGTTGTTTAACCATGACCTCTGGATTTTACGCACATAAGTAAACACAGGAAAATATTGTTTTTAAATTGATAGTTTAACCAAATCATATTATAGATATACTACGAGTGGTCGAGTGAACACATATTCCAAAATAGAACTCACTTTGGTTTTAACCAATCTATACTATTATATAAAAATCTAATGGTGTCTGTCTGTATGTGTATTACTAATAGGCTCAAAAACTACTGAACCGACTGGGCTTAAATTTTACAATAATATAGCTACCATACCAAGGACCATTAGGACTATTCACACTTTGATACTGACCATGGGCTTTGCCCCTTTGGCTTTAAAACTTCTGAGGTGAGGATTTTAAAAGTAAATATTGATTTGTCTCCATGGCTGCGATGAGAACACTAATAATGTTTGTTTACATTTGCTTTGACATTTCAATTTAAACAAGAAGAACTGCTAAATTGCATATTTCACAATTTCAGACAGCTGATACAAAGAAATTGATTATAATATTTTCCATAACTATATATGATGTATATTTTAATCTTAAGTTTTATCATGGATTATTTATTCTAAAACTATGTCAATGATTATAAAAAAAGATTCTATAACCGTTGCTGTATCAACTCCGGCTCTGCTTTGGATTTTTTAAAGCGTCTTAAGTTATGAAAATAATGTTATTGGTATGCTTTCATGGAAACAGTATGAAAATTACAGTGTATAGATGGTTTGTATAAATTTGGAGGATTTTTTTTATGAATTCCAACTGCTTAAAATGTGTTGGATAAACAACTTGAACTTCACATAGATTTTTTTTTATTTAGGTAAATTTAGTAGTTGTGTTTCACTACACCACTGATTAAATCAAACTAAGGAAAATATCATAAAACTTAGCTGTACACAGTGTTCTTTTGTTTCTAAAATCAATTAAATATTTGTTATTATGTTTACTTAATGGTAAGTGTGAAAATGTAAAGGCAGTAGACTATGGAACTAAATAAAAGAACTGGCTTCTATATTATGTTGTTCGTTGAATTTTTTTTAGAGAAAAATAATAGATGCAATGAAACATATACCTAATGCCTATTACTATTAATGTTTTTGTCCTCTGATGTTTTGATAATAATTAGTTTTGTCTGCCATCTTAAACGCTCAATTTCATTTGTAAATTAAATAATATGTACTAAAGATATAAAACAAATGTGTTAAGAATGTGGATGGGTTTGTTTACTTTGGGGCAGAGCTGAATAACAAAAAATCACAAACTGAATCATGGCTGGTAACAGAGCATATTACGCTAACCTCAAATCCAATCTGATGACCCCCAAGACAAAGATGAAGGTATTCAAAACTCTAATTAGGTCTGTTGTTATGTACAGTGCAGAAACCTGGTCCCTTTCCACATTGAGCACAAAGGCCATTAGGGTTGAATTTTGTTTGTAAAAGCGTTGGCGGATGTGTATATTTTATACAACAGATTTTAAGATCAAAATGTTTCTATTTCAGGTCCTCTTCCCGTTGCAAAGCACGGGTACAAAAGCTAGTATAATATAACGCTTCTTTTTCACAAGCTTTGTTGATTTTGTATACATTCATAACTAACACGCTTCTGGATACTTAACAGTTGTCTTGATATTTACATACTCATTGCTTTTACCATTAAATTGTTTTCTGCCAGGATTACATTCATTTTCGTTTTATTAAGTTTATCCTATGTGTGCACTGGTATTTTATTAATATAATATTTAAGGACAGTTTCCATAAAATAGGGTAATGCTTACTTGTTATAAAACTTGCAAAATCAGTAAAACGAATAAAAAAAGTATCGTATACAACACATTTCCTGTAAATAGAATATAGGCGTTGAATTTTAAATTGACAAGATATTTACACTTAAAGTTTGGTTAATACATAGTCACATAGCCTATACCGGGTTTAAATAATTATTATTGCGCTACGAGTGGCGTGGGTGGAAAGGAATAGGAACTATATTTCCAGAATAATTTGTTCGGATCGCATTTTGAATAACACCAGATACAACAAATCAGTAAACAAATTCTTAAGATGAACAACCGCAATACAGACTCAAAAATATATTCTTGCAGAATTATTAGACTAATACCAAACACTTTAAGTAGCCGATTACCAATAGAATACTGTGCACCGTATGCAAACAATTTTATAATAGGACTTGTGTCATTCATACTTTTTGTTCTTTATGAGTCGAACATCATACTGTAGATGTTAGTATGTTTTCCAGCAAACGTTGTATATTCACCGTGAAAATGTGCTTAGTTCTGCATCTTATCACTTCCTCCGCTTCCTCATGCATTTTCCTCTATTAACATTGTAACTCAGTATGGCACCAATTAGGAGCGACCATTATTTCTTTACAGTCATACAACACCAACCATGTCAAATATTATACTATTTAAATCTGACTAAATAATAACAAAAGTGTACTTTTGTAAGTAAGGCTTCTCAAGCACAACCACAGATCATCGTAGAAGATTTATCACAGAAAGTTAGATTTCTATTTGGTTTAATAAAATTGATTTTTGTTTACTATTCATTCCTGTTATTTAACTAACTTGACAATTATTATATCTTTTCAACACATAAAAATTATTATATAAAAATAAACAATATAATTTTTTGTAAATGATCGTATCTCATCTTGTATTGTAAACCCAAAGGGTAAATTCTTAAAGCTTTGATTTTAAAATAAGAGAGAAAAATGTATTCAACATCAGTGTAACCAAACTTAATCGACACGAATTACGAGGAAACCGAATTTAGATTTTATAATAGAATAAAAGTATAAATATACATTTCATAGTCAATGGTACCACATAATTTATTGTGGTAAAGTTTGTAATGCAGCGTTACATTTCAAAGAATTTTTTTAAACACATTTCAATAATACACCTTCAAAGATTTTTTTAAAACAACTTCAATAATATACCTAATTTATTGCAATAAAACTTTTAAACCTCCAACAAGCAATAATTGCAATCGCAAACCCATAATATCACCCAAGTTAGTCAAGTTACATCTGCAAAGTAGATTGGATTCTGTAATCATATACAGAGATTGCAAATAGTTGACCGATTGAAGGTGGAGAAGGACGAAGCGACATTGAACTTGACTTTGATTTCGTAATAGAAACAGGTGATTTCGCAACCTTCGTGTTACGACATACAGTGGGGGAGATGTTGAATCAGCTGACTGCTTCTCCGACCCGGCACAAGTCAGATGTTTCTGTGATGTTTCAGGGACTAGGGACCGGAAACCCCACTGGACTGAGGCTGTGCTAGGACCATGTCCTCTTCAACCAGATGCAGGTTTAAGTCCTGGTGATATAAGTTGTTACTACAGGATGTACTGTATTGAGTAACCATCAGGAATATATATGAAAAAAAACGTAAATAATTATTTTACGGTCTAATCCAAAGGCTTATTTGTACAGGTCTTTCTAAAAAATGTTGTAGATAGATTAATAAACGAGTGATTTTAAAAGGAACAGGCTCCAAGTTTTGGTTTGGTTGTGTAGGTTGTAACTGGTGCTGGTTGTAACGACGCATTAAAAATCAAATTTTAAAATTACAAAAACAGCTGTAAGCTTGTAAATTTTAACTTCTCAGTTTTCAATCAGTAATTAAGCATCGATCTTTTAATGGCTTTGCTGACTAAAAAGGTATAGCAACTATAAAAATTTGAAATTATCTGCAAAACCCTACCTTTAAAACATAGTTTCTAAAAATGCTTAATGTTGACTT